TATTAATATATTTTATTTTATTTAAAAAATTATTTTATTTAACTTTATTTATTTATTTTATTTTAATTTGACCAGAGGGGGACAGAATGAGAGAGAGAGAGGAAAAGTGAGAAAGCAAGTTGCCAGATCCAGGGCTTGAACTGTGATCCACCATGTGGGAGTCCAGAATCCTTAACCACCATGCCACCTGACGGCCCCTTAATGTGTTTTATTTTTATGGACTATCTTTTTTTGGTTTTGTTGCCTATGTTTTTACTTACAACATATATAAAAATGAACATATCTATTGTTATAAAACTTTCCCTCTGTGTTTTCTTCTTGGAGTTTTATTGTTTTAGCTCTTAAATGTTTGTCTTTCATCTAGTTTGAGTCAATTTTTATATATGTTGTAAGATAATGATCTACTTTTATTCTTTATATATGGATATCCAGTTTTCCTATTACCATTTGTTGAAGAAATTGTTCTTTTCCCATTCAGAATTCTTAGGACCCTACTCAAAGAACATTTGATTATAGATACAAGGATTTGTTTCTGGGCTCTTTATTTTATTCCATTGGTATAAAGTTTTATTTCTATGCCAATGTTGTGAATTTTAGTAGTTCTTAATGAAACTTAAACAAGGGAAAATATATTTGAAATTATCTGTACAGTACTGTGATTGAATCATTTATTAATGCTTTTTCTTAGTTTTTAACTTCTATTTTATTTTCCTTTTTTTAAGTGACCAATCATATGTGATCAGTTTTGTGGTTCCTAATCAGAAAAGGTTGACACTTTTGGCGCAACAGAAAGGGGTAGAAGGATCTTGGGTTGATATTTGCAATAACCCTGCCATGGAAGCTGAAATACTGAAAGAAATTCGAGAAGCTGCAAATGCCAGTAAGTAAGAAATTACTAGTCTATTAAAGTCCCTAAAAGTCATTTAATGATGTTTTTGTGCAGTGGGTTCTTCAAGATGTTTAATAATAAAATATGGGATTTTTTAAAACCTACCTTTTAAATATGTATGGTGAATGTCCATGTAGGAAGGATTTTTAAATGTCATATTGTAGAATAGCCTATCTAGTTTTTATGCATGTTACAATGTCCCCACCATGTGGTCATCTAGCGTGTGTTTAGAATAGTCCATCTTTGGATAGTTCTGTTATAATAGTCAACCTTATGCCTGCAAAGTAGAAGCTAACAACTCCTTAGGAAATAGTGTCCATAACCATGATAATAATTTTTGTATATAGTTTGGTTCTATAAACGGATTCAGGTGATGCATTAGTATCAATCAGAGAACACAATGCCTGTGTGCCAGGCTTTGTGTTATACTCCAGCAATACAGAAAGACACATTTCTTATTGCCAGGGAACTCATTATCCAGTGAGATGGCAGCAGTCATAATAGCAATAGAGATATGAACAAAGAATTGTGTATTACAAGTGAGGGTATCTATTCCTACTGGGAGGTCCTGGAAGGTTTCCTTATGAACATGTCACTTAAGTTCATTATAAGGATTAATTAGAAGTTAAGTAGTGAGGGCATTCTAGGCTAAGAAGTGACATGAGTAAAAGCATGGAGGTGTGAAAAAAGGTATGTGCAGAGATCTACAAAAAGTTTGGTATTGCTGGTAAAGTGCAAAGTCCAAGATGAGGATGTACAGGTAAACATAGGACAAGTCATATATTAGCTTGTGTGTCATGTTCAGGAATTTGGACTTAATCATGTGTGCAATGGGGAAACATTGTCAGATTTTATCAGATTAGTGATGTAGTTAGGTTTATATTTCAGATAGATGAATTCACTCTGGGGGCCATGCCAAAGATGCATTTGAAGGGGACTGGACTGAGGCAGGAAGCCATTTTAAGATGACTTTAGTAGATGCTTAGATGGGAGTAAGGTGTGGTGGGAGTGAATGAGGACCTGGACCAGGGAATCAGGAAACATTAAGAAAGCAAAACTGGTGAGTTTTGACAAGTGGGTAATGCAGGTAAGGTAAATGGACTCTAGGATGGTCCAAGATTTGTAACTCAGAAGATAAGGTAGCTGTCACTACTGATTACGCTGGAAATACAGGAGGAAGAGCCAGCTTATACAAGATTATGATGAAATTGGTTTGGAACTCACATAGTTTGACATGTTTGTTGAAAAATCAAAGTTAGAATGTGTAGCCAGGTGGTTCTGTTCATTAGTCCCGACCTTATGGGAGAGGCCTGGACTGTACTATAGCTTGGGGATAATTAAAAACACAAAGATAGAAGGGCTGACCTTGGAAGACAGTGTGAGTGAGACTAGGAGGTTGAGGATGGATCCCTGAACACCAGCATTTAAGGAATTGATGGAAGAAGTGGTGTGCATGGAAGATGTGTCTGGCAAGGTATCCAGAGAACAGGGGCAGTGGAGAGCACTGCTAAGAGAGTTTCAGGAAAAGGAATTTGAAGTTAGCAGGAAAGTCTGACTGAACTTTACTGGAACACTGATTGGGAAGTTAAATAGATTGAAAATTAACTCTCATACCAAATAGTATATTTGTTTTATAACCTTTTGTAAATGTTAATTTTTAAAAATTTAGTAAGTATACATACTTTAAAAAATATCATAGTTTTATGAGACCACATCAAACAGCAGCCCATGTTATACCCTCTTCGTCTCCAAGTCCTACCACCATCCCCAACTTTAGTTGTTTTTTTATTTCTGGCATTTGTTTTCATTTATCTATAGAAAATGGTATATTGCTCTTTATTCTTTTGTGTGTGGGGGGTTATCTTAAGAAAATGTTTTTAATTTACAATTAATCACTATACATCTTTAAAATGTACAACCTTGCTTTTCCCAGCACGAATACAGTTAAAACTCAATATATTGCTCTTTCTTGATCCTTTTATTTGAGATTTAATCTGTAGACTTCCTACCAGAGAAGACGATTTAGTATTTTTATATCCACATTCTCTCCCCAGTGTATAGAACAGTTTCACATTTTACATCTACGTTTACATTTTTTTTTAAGTTTTATTTTTAACTTAATTTATTTTTAAATTTTTTTTACCAGAGAAGGACAGAGAGAGAGAGAGAGGGAGAGAGAAAGTGAGAAAACAAGCTGCCAGGTCCGGGATTCAAACTGTGGTTGGCCATGTTGGCCATGTGGGAGTCCAGCACCCTTAACCACCATGCCACCTGCCAACCCCATCCACATTTACATTATTATAACTATGGAAATATTCACAGCTGACCTACATATTGTTTTATGATTTACCTTTTCTTCTTGGGAAACTTTATTTCTCCCTGAATTTTAAAATGCCTCTCTTTTTTATTAATTTTCTGAGTACCTATTAGTAAATCTTCCCTTAAACTCTGATAACGCTATAAAAAATCCTCTCAAATACTGTAAAGTACAATCTCTCTCTCTCTCTCTCTTTCTCTCTACCTATCTATATTTAGATCTTGCAGGCATACTTAGAGCCTTTATCTTTGTGCTGAAGTTTAGACAGTTTGCTCCCAAAGACTTCCCTTTACTATCAGACTGGGCATGACCTTTGTGTTTTTTCTGTGCTGGATCCTGTTCTCATGTCTGTCTTTCTTCTGGTTTACTCATTCATTTGGGTAGAGCACATCATCCAGCAGCTACCTGAGAAAGCTGAATAGAAGGTAAATTTTGAGACTTTTTTTTTTATTTGTCAGAAGGTGAGTACACTCACCAGAGAGTAACAGAGAAAACAAGGGAGACTGCACCCCTTAACAGGAAGTGGTCACACTATAATTCCTTCTCCATTTATCCATCCTATTGGGATTTGGGGCATGCACGCACATGTGCCCAGTGTGTTTTTCAAGTTGCCAGGGCTAAGATTCAAATTGTAGGATCCAGCTCTCTTAGCTACTAGGCTGTGGGTCCTGCTCTAGAAGACTGTTTTTGTGAGTCTGAATATGTCTTTATTCTAACCTCTCCCTTGATAGGTAGCTTGGCATATTCTAGAATTCTGAATTGAAAATTGTTATTCTTAATGCTTTGCAGTCTTTGCTCCATTGTCTTCTTGCTGCCTTGATTCCCATTCCTTTGTATATGAACTATTTTATCTCTCTAAATTTTTCAAGTTATTGTTTTAATTTCTGGTGTTCTGATACTTCATAATCATATGCCCTAGTGTGAATCTTCTATTATTTATAATTGTATGTACTTGGGGTGAGCCCATTCAATGTGGAGATCTCTGCCCATTACTTCTGAGGAATATTTATCTTTTTTATTCATTTTTCTCATAGGACAGCCTTCACACACACCCTAAGTTGTGTGTGTGTCTGTGTGTGTGTGTGTGTGTGTGCACATGCGTGCCTAGGCACATGTCTAGGAATACTTTTATATCACTTTTGGACCACCTGCCTTTATCCTCTAATTTTATCATCTTTTTTTTTTCTTTTGTTTTCTATCTCGTTGTCTTTTTGTTTATTTACATTATGAGATAATATAGTATGTTGTCATGTACATGTTTTGAAGTACATATACATTGTAGAATGTCTAAATCTAGCTAATTAACTACTGCATTGCATCATATAGTAAACATTTTTGTGGTAAGAACATATTATATCTACCCTGTTTGCATTTTTCAATAATACTTATATATATCATTACCTGTAGTCACCTTGTCATACAACAGGTCTCTGAAATTTGGTTTTTTGTTTGTTTTTTTGTTTGTTTGTTTGTTTTAGAGAGAGAGATTTTTGCTACAGGGTACATGTACTCACCAGAGAGACAGAAAGCAAGAAATCACCCCCTGGGGGGATGGCCATGCTGCAGTCCTTTCTCCTCTTGGGATCTTGGGCATGCACGCACACATACATGCCCAGCGTGAGTTTAAGCCACTGGGTCCGAGACTTGAACTACCTTCGACTACATGGGAGTCCAGCGACATAGCTATTACAACAAGCACACACATGTGCCCAGAGTGAGTTTTAAGTCACCTGGTCTGGGACTTAAACCGTGGTTGACTATGTGGGAGTCCAGCAACATAAACATTATGCCATCTGCTGGTCCTAAAATTTATTTTTCCTAAGTATAGTTTTGTATCTTTTTGACTAGGTTCTCCCTATCTCCTTCCCTTCTGCTGACCACCTCTATCTTCTGTACCTCCATTGTACTCTCTACTTCTGACCAACTGTTTTAGATTCCACGTTTAAGTAAGATCATGTAGTATTTTTTTTTCCATGCCTGATTCATTTCGTTTAATATAATGTTGTCCAGGCTCAATCATGGTGTTACAAATGGCAGGATTTTCTTCTTTTTTTTATGGCTGAATGTTTTTTCATTATGTTTTTTTCATGATGACATATATTTAATGGAAAACCATTAAAAGGGGTGTAAACAATCCAGTCTTAATAACATTTTATCTTTCAGGTCATATACTTTTTCTCATGATGCTCTCAAAAGTGGATCTTGAGTTCAGTTTGACTCATCAGTAGGTCTTCAAGAAGCTCTACAGGGTACAGATGCAAATTCAGTAGCAGCTTCTCTTTGTTCTCTAGTTATACTTTTTTCCAATTCCTGC